GAAACAGATGTACATTATCATTGGATTTGCCTTTCTCTCTTTGCTGTTGCATGGCTAATAGAGTTTCATGTGCCCCCTCACATCCTCCCCATTTAGCATCTTTTCTCTACAGAAGCATGCACCCTACTGTGCCAATCCACACTTCAAAGATTTCTGTCTATCTATTAGAAACAAAGCACAAAGTGAGAACATATGGCCCCTTTTAAATTTCCCACATTTAAGTCAATATCGTTTCTTTTCTCCTTTGGCAAAGAAACATAATAAGGTTTATCTTCTCCCTTCCTAAATCTGCTGGCTCTCTCAAACTGCTTGTGCCAATTCAGCAGTTACTTTGCAGCATCAGACTTGGCAGCACATATGAAAACAAAATCTCTAATTTTTTAAATTGCTTTTATTTCTCCAGATCAAGAAGATTCATTTAAATGATGAAAAAGGACAAAATGTAACTGCACACTTTCAGATAAGTGGATTTTAAACCCATGAAAGGGCACAGCAGAGTCTTGTTCAAGTTCCTTTCATAGTGACATCTTTCCAAGCATTTCCTAAAGGATGGAAGAGCATTTTGGAATCTGAGGCCATACTGAGTATGAGCATTCACTTCTCACATGTCCCAGAGCATCCACAGAAACCCTCTATTATGGCATTAATGGGAGTAGTTAGGCAGTAACAAGATGCTGCAGCCTCTCTTAAGGAAAAGGAACAGTTACTTGCCTCAGAATCACTTCAGTTCTTCAGTTTCCTCTGCTGAAGTCACAGACATAGGGAAAGTAGCTCTTGTGTGCCTGGAAGCAGAAATTTCTGGCCATTTATTCCATCCTCAAGGAGATGGCTAACAGGACAAGCAAACTTAGCTCACAGTGAGTTTCTGGACATTAAAAACAGCGCCTACATAAAAAAAAGCTCCAAGTTAACTTCTTTAGCTCACATTAGAAAGATCAGCAACCACATAAGTAGTATCCTGTGAATGCTGCCTACCTAATTTGTGATTTAATTATAAAGGATTAGGTTGCAGGTATGATGTTTTTAGCAGGACGAGAAATGAAAGTCTTGCCCCGCTCCTGGAAACACTGTGGTTTACTCCTTTAATTCATCGTCTCTAGCTAAGATGACTCCAAGTTTCATACTCCTAAACTGTCAACTTTGTAATCTTTAATTGATTTTAGCATCCATTTATTGGACCAGGAAAATCCTTATAAAAACCTATCCTTGATCAGTGCAAGCTGTGAGTGCCCCAGGGCCCCGATTCTAAGAAAGCATAAATTGAAGTACCTCTGTTTACGTCTGCCAATCCAGTTAAGCCGCACAAAGTTTCCATTGAAACTCACAGAAGTTACACGTGCAGAGCCATTGAGGGATATGGCCTTAACAGATGGCATGGCCAAACGGCAAGGAGTGTGATTAAAGACATCAAAAGTAAAAAATATTCCCTGAGAAGGCTGTAAAGAGAGAGGAGGAATGTGAGCCCCACAGTGCTGGTTTTTGCTTCCCTTCATACTTTTGCACTTACTGGAAACTCCAAGTCTCTTTAATTGAGCTTTTCCTCCCTTCCACTCCTTGTAGGGTGAGGGGGTTAATTGCTGCAGACTGAAACATTACAGTTTTCATTCTCCTGCTTACCACTAGCACGATGAGTGTGCAGGAATGCCTTGGGCATGCAGTGCACAGATGTGCATGCAGCAGTTGGAGCAAGGGTGGAATAAATACCTCCAGCCTCTATGGCCATGGGTGTCCGTAAAGCGCTTTATCTGTGACTTTAAATATCAGCACTGGCCAAGTGAGACCTTAATGCTAATTGCCATGGCATTTCACTGTTTATCTTAGTTGAACTAGCATTACCAGTCCTGGTTGTTAACAACCTCAAGTGGCACTTTATTCATCTATCAACAGTCTTATCCTGTGAACAAGCAAGCAAAGAACTATAAACACCCACTCCAAAGTCACTTTGCAGGTTTAAACTAAAGCCCTTGGAAAAAGGCCTTTCACAGAACTCCAGTGAGAACAGACAAAATACAAGCTTCAAAACAACATTTTAATCTACAAAGTTTTATTTGTCTTTTTAAACTTGTAAACCATAAAAAGAGCTTATCAAATATCTGAAATTAGTACAAGAAAAAATGATGACTTATATAGCAAACTGCATTTGAAGGTCCAAATTCAAAGACATGCATGGGGTTCTCCTGGTTTCCATTTGTGAAGCTAGAGACAAATTTGGCCCAGTTAATTAGGTGTTTTATTAAAAAATTCACAAAGCCTTAATGTGCTTCACTGAACAAATAGAGCAGAATGGGAACGATTAAGTGCACGAATAAGCACTCAGCACCAGAGGATCTGAACCCGGTTTTCATTCGTAAAGTACAGGCTAACCAAAATAGCACATCTCTTAGCTAGGAGCAATTACAGGCTTGCTTTGTCTACATGGACTAGGCACTCACAGGAAGACACCAACTCCACTTCCTAAGCACTTTGCAAAACAAAACATACAAAGACTCAGAAAGCACAGTGCACATAATTATCAATACTCCTGATATTGTTAGATTAATTCCTGCCCATTTCCAAATTTATAAAGCCCCTTAACACTGTCTTCAACATTCTTGTGAAACTCCTGGAACTGTCTACTCTCCAGACCCTGAAATACCAGGCCAACGAGACAATTAGTGTGATCCAGTCTGCAGTTTCTTGTGACATCAGGATTAGACTTGGTGTCAGTAGACTTCCAAGGCAAAGTTAGTGCTTCGCAGTTAGAAAACAGGGTAGACATGGAAGCTTTGGGCAACGTTTAACCAACTTGTTTGTAATCAAGAAGAGAAGGATCTGATGCTCTAATTCAAGGTGAATACTAAAGAATATAAAAAACATCTATAGAAGAAAAACCCCAGGTAATGCAAAAACCTCCCTCGACTTGGACTGGTACTCAGGAACCCAGGGCAGCGTTTCTCATTCTGCCACGCCAATGAGCCCCAGTGACTATCCACAACTTTCCTGCTTTGCGCCTCCCACTGCACACTGGAGATGGACCTCTTCTAGAAAGTCTTTCAAGTTTCCCCTGTGAAATCTATTCTATGAGCTATTATTGCTGTTTTGTGAGCAAAAATGTACCACAAGAGATTCATAAAAGTAGTATGAATGTAGCTTCTACATACAGTATTTTTTTCCTGCCTCCTTGCTGTTTTTTCCTCCACTGGTAGACGGTCCTTTGCTATTCCCACACTTCACAAATCTTTCCATCCTTCCTTTGTCACTCCTTCTTCACAGCTCTAAACCTCACAGTAATCCATATGTACAGTCCTTAAGTCCTGCTATTTTAAAACAAAGAAATTAGAAGAATTCATCCATATCATTTCTATCACTTTAGCTCAGTAGGATTGAATTGTCTAGAATTACATAGAAATACAGAAGTAAATTAACTCATCATTGAAAACCTCTCTATTTAATAACTAGCATCCAAACTGCAAATAAGATGCAGTATAATGCCTACTGAATAATTTCAATAGAATGTTATTTGCTTTTCTAAGTCTGTTTCTTTTAGCCCATTTTTAGCACATTTTAAATGTATACAAGTAAAAAAAGATCCTAAACATCCCTCTTCCAAGTCAAATCAACCGAAGAGTTGCTAAGTATGTGAAGAAAATAAATAATTATGTGATAAATTGTGGGTGGTTTTGCAGCTAAGTGCATTAGAGAAATCTTCTTCCAGAAGTTATGCAGAAAACATATGAAGGTCAATTTTTATTTCCTGGATTGTCTAACAAGTTTCTGCTTGGTAGATTAAAAAAAAAAAAAAAGCAGTCTGATAATGAACATGATGCTGAATGCAAGTTAGTTCCCACTGAAACCGTAAATCATGTTTGGAAATGTATTTTCAGATTTTGATGAATTGCATCAAGGTAATTAAAGGTGAGAGCTGATTAGCTGACATGTTTCCAAACATGAACATTCTTGCCTACACTCCAGGCAAAAATTATGTTAAATGTTTTTGCAGATTTTCTAGCACGATGAATTTTCCCAAGTGTAACTGTGCCCCAAGGGGCCTAACTTTCTTGTTAATTGGAATACAAATGAAATCTGTCACTCAATAATTGAGGTACACAACAACATGTGAAGAACAGTAAGCATTCATCATATCTATATAATTATGTGGCAACATTTAGACTGTTGAGCAAACACAGTAGTTACCCATTAGTAAGAGATCACCTCTGCCAGAGTATGTTCTGGGGCATTCACTGACTTCTGACAGAGGGTACCTTTTTGTACAAACACATACACATCACTTCCTCTAAGTTACTTCTCCAGCTGTATTTGCTGTTCTGTGCTCATGGTGACTAGGGTAGGAAGGCAGCCAGAGGGGTCAAAGATAACGTGGCTTGCAGGGTTTGCCTGAAGTGGGTGGTCTGCTGCTACACCAGGAGAGCCTGTACTTCAACCATGGGCAGAACTGGGTCTTAGTTTCTGTTAGTGAATAAATGATGGGTGGATGTCTGAAAGACATTTGGAAGTGCTTTATGGTACGAGTATAAAGCACAGTACTTCTGCTCGTTTTAATCAACTTACCAGCTTGATCTCTTATACGTCTCTATTTAATATCAGCTATTACAAAACCATCAGCAGTAAGATGCCTAAAAAGTAAATACTGAAATCACTGCCTGCACATTAAACCTACAGTACTGGAATGAAATTATGGGCACCCTGAAGCCAGTGACAATCTGGTAGTTTTATCAGAGATTTCACTGGGACAGAGATTTTACTTTGCTACCCTTAGCTTTGTTCACTTTGCATGAGGTACTCTTGAAGTTGTGGGAAGAGCTTAGCAATCCTTATTTTAGAAAGCTTGGTTTTCTCAAAATTCTAAGTAGCAGAGCAAAATTTTTCAGCTGAAATGTTCATTAGTAAGCAGTGCAAATTTGGGGATTGCCTTCATTTTGCTGAATTGTTTTACTTAAAAATAGAAAAAAGTGAAGGAAAAGGCTGCTGTTTTTGTTTGAAATCGCTTAATGCCATTCCATTTTATTTTCAAACAGTAACAACATACTAAACACTATTTTTTTCTCCTTGGAAATTAAATGTTTTTTTTGACCAGAAACTAAACGCTTTTAATTTTAGATTTGGCCACAGTTTTAACCCCTCTCACTCAAATTATGATTTTTTAAGGTTTTCAGAATTAAAACCAACCTGAAAAATCAGTTACATGACGCAGCTCTAATAGTAGGGAACAAGAAATTTAATTTTTAAAGTTAGCACTTTAATTATAAAGCCAAAGCATAGCAAGTCCATACCTCATGATCTGATCCTATTCCCAAAAACGTTAATGCAAGCTCTTTCATCAGTGAGATCTGCAAGCACTGACAGCAATTGCAATAAGCTCCTGAAATCCACGAGAAGAAGAAGGAAATATACTTTCTGAACTAGTAAAACTTTAATTAACAGGGGGTTCTCTTGGCACAGTTTTTGCTGTTAAATAAATAAAGCATTTAGTCAAAACCATCTATATTTACTATACAAAATACTGAAAAGCAAACGTTTTAAAAGATACGGAAAGTTCAGGTTCTGTGAAAAGAAACTGTGCTACATGTTACTCACACTTAATGCACATAACACAACTGCAGAACAGTATTTGGATACTGCATGTTCATACATGGCCGGTGTAAAGTTTTAGCATGGGGATGCCACGTTATTAGCAGATTGTATTTCACAGGATCTAAACAAGGCAGAATGTGTCTTTTGAATCTCCAAATATAAGACACCAACCAAATTAAAGCAAGGCTGTATTCAATGGCCAGTTGTGTTACATTCCAAAGCTCACTTGCACAGCTAGTACTGCACACTTCTCATTCAGATGGAATTTTGTTATTGGTGCTGTTATCTTTTCAAGCAAAATTATCTTTGAGCTTTTATGCCCCTTTGCAGCCCTTTTCCAGAACATTTTCTGGTTTTCAGCAATGGTCTGCATTAGAAAAATTGACAAGGAAATAACTCCCACCTCCCAGTCTTTCTGGCATATGTCCCACTGAAAAGAGAACAGCTTTAAGTATGTTTTCAAAACAAATAGCATGGCATCCCTCCTTGGATGGAATGTACACTTGTGTGTTTGCATGCGGTATAACGTAAGTCACTCGAATACATCAGACTTTGTTAACACTATAATATAAATAAGCTTATTCCTTCTACTAGACATATAAATGCCTTTTTTTTGCAGTCCATAATTATATATACATTGAAAAGAATGATATACAAGCAGCAAAAAAGGCTTAGACTAGAACAACTCAGTGGTAACTAACCAAATTTGTGGCCTTTTCACGTTTTCAATACAGAGAGTTCTGAATATAAATATTTTTGGACTTTAGGAATTTAAAAAATAAACAGAACAGTATAGTTGTCACACAGATCAAACACATTTTCAAAACATTTTTTTAGATTTAACAGAATACACTGTTGACAGCTTAAAAAAAAAAAAAAAAGCATTTTTTTTAAAGAGGACAAGAAGCCCAAACTACTGCTGATTCAGGGAGACAAAAGATGGACTTATTTACCAAGAAGCAGCGATCCTACTCCCATTCCAAAAGAAGGCAAAGCCTTCAACTTTTTATGTAAAAGTTGACGTCTCTGCGTTCTGAGGAAGGGCGACATCCCTCTAAATGTGGTCAGCAGTTCTGGTCAGCACTCCTTTTTGGACTGATCAACTCTAGTCAGTGAAAAGATAATCATGAAGGGCTTATAACAATGTGGGATAGTTACATTTTACAATATATACTATAGACAAAATACCACAACATTTAAAATAATTAAAACCAAAAGCAAATATGTTTGATAGAACAGTTATATTTTTATGTGAGGAGTTCCCTACTTCGAAGTACCAAAAGCAATGTAGGTGATTTTCAGTCACTTTCTACCTGCGAAACAGTGAACTTTATAAAACCCAATCGAATGTATTATAAAGCTGGGCCCCACAGAAAGTAAATCTTGACTGCACTGACCCTTTTTTCCATTTTTACAATTTGCTTTTGACTCAAATTTCTCAGCAGCCAGTACGGTCTTCTGAGCATGGTCTCATTCTCCCTCATAGAAAGGAAGCTCTTTGATATGAAAAAAGTAGAAGAGGCCAGAATGACTGTGAAAGATCTTTTTTTACATGTTGAATTGTCTCTAAAATGGGAGAATCACAAATTGGTAGGTGCTGCAGAAATTTAAATTGGAGGCACCTATGAAAATGCCATGTTACGTTTTATAATGTCACTGTTACTGAAAAAAATCATAATGTTAATACTCAAACCACAGATCTCTAAAACACAACAAAATGTACCTGAGAGTGTGCATATTTATATATATATATTTATATTTATATCTTATATATATTTGCCAACATTTAAAGTGAGAAAGTATATTTTCCTCAATTCTTTCTCAAAACAAAGAACTGTGGATTTAAACAAAACAAAAACCCCAAATAACCCCTCTGCTTCCCAAACCCCCATCAATTATACTTATGGCCCAAGCACTAAAGTTTAGTGATGGTTTTGAGAACACCATTTCACATCCTCCTCTTTTCAAATGGTTACCCCAGACAGAATGGAGAGTAAGCAAGAGAAAAAAAAAAGTGTATTTAAATACTACTCAGTACATAACAAACTGTATTTGTGTCAGTGAAGAATCTCAAAGAAAATGAAGTGTAAGTTGTACAGATGTAGCTCTGCTGACAAGTATAGCTAATATTTCCATGTAATTAAGATAATTTGAAAGGATGTGAACACAAACAGGCTACACCAATGCAGTATATTAAAATTCCCCCTGTAGCACATTACAATCAATAAAAAGAAAATAAAATCTGAATAATACTAGAGGTAGCAGCTGTTTGTATTTTCTGTTATTCTGAGCATCTCTGGAGTCCAAAACTTCGAACATTGCTCCCCTGATAAAAGGCTTGTGTGCGATCAGCTGACATACAGCAAGCAGACTGGTAAGCTAGATGTCTGCAATAGTGTTTGAAGTATCTTTCCTTCTACAATGGAAGTAGTACTTGTAAAGAAGTGCGTTGACGACCTGCATTAAATCACAGCTCAAAAAGCTATGGCTGTTTGCTGTTTTACAAGCCACTTTAAAATAAAAATCCACAAGTTGTTTAAGTAAGCTATGCAGTTCCACAACATATAAATAGAGTGAGTTTCAAGAGTTCCATATAACCTCTAAAATAAATGCTAGCTGAATATTAATGGAGTAACAATAATATTAATCAGTAATGCCTTAGTTCTGGTGTCACAAGAACGTGCTTCCTTCATATGGGATGATTCCTGGAGGATGTTGGTGGGATCTGTTTTATGTCTGGTAGAAGTGATGGTAGTGGTGGTGGTGCTCGTGGTGGTGGTGGTGTTCATGTCTCTGTATCATTTGTCCAACTTGACCTTCATATAGAATGACTGTTGGCAGGTCTCTCACATGTTCCTTTTCTACAACTGTCCCTGGAGACTGGAAGGTTTTGCACATTTGGTGATTCTCCTTTGCTCTCTGCTTATGCTTCTTGTGAACCTGCTGAGACTGCAAGGGGAGATAAGGAAGATTCTGGCCCACCCGTGCACTTGGGGAGGCCATTGGCATGGCCCCTGCTTGAAAAGGTTTATTTCTTACTGCCCTTCCAGAATGCACAGGAGCAACATTTTTACTCTGGGCCTTGGGAGATCTCACAAAGTGCTTGTTTGAGTCCTGGTTCCGGAGCCTCTGTTGGATTTCTGCGATCTTGGCATAAGAACTCTCAGCCAGATTGATGTGGCTTGGATCCACCACTTGAGATTTCCTATGGTGGGCATGGAAGGTTTCAGGTTCGTGGGAACGGGATCTAGTTTGACTCACAACTCTGCTTGGTGGGTCATGTTTTTGAACTGCTGGAGGAGAACCTAGAGAATAACAAGCTGGATTAGTCATCTAGTATTTCAGAGTTTTAATTAGTAACATACAGTTGGCAGGGATAGCATTATCAGCAGAGTGAATTTTTCCTAAGGAAGTAAATGCAATTATAACTGTCTAGTTTAACTGCATTTAATAATTTTGATTGGTAAATAATACACACACATATATCTTCATATGTAAACATATATTCCATTATATGTATTTAAAAGTTCTTGCATTTCATTCTCTTCCATTCATCTATTTGAAATGCACCAAAATAACTATGAGCAGAATAGTAAGAACTTGACAGAGGGCAGGGGGAAGAGAGGAAATCCAAATTACTTTAACTGGGGAACCGAAAGCAAAATTCCAGATATGAACCCATATTCTCTGATTTTTTGGTCTGTAATGAGTACAAAAAAAACTTCCAAATATATGCTGGTATCATCTTGAGAATGACCTCTACTATCCAAAAATCAATCCTCACCTCACCCATAGACTAAACTTAATAGTTCAGATACAAAGATTGTTCTCCTAGGCTCACCTCCAAGTTTACCTACACAAACAAGTACTTCAAAGCAGGCTTGCAGCACATTAACCACTCCATTGTGATTCCACCTTGCAGCATTCGTACAATTCTTTTCCTTCAAAATTCCTTTCCCCTGATGTGGAACATTCAACTAAAGAAAGAAAAGACCAAAAGCTTGCAACATAAACTACCAAATTACCTGGCCCAAACTTTGATGTGTAGTTTTCTATTCCTGCAAGATCCAAATAGTGGTTTCTCCTTTCAATGTTCTCATCAACACAATGACGATAGCACTCACTTTGCTCTGGATTGTTCTCACTCTGGTGATATCTGTCAGCAGAAAGCAAAATTACAATTCAGCAGAAGTTCTTTATTGTTGTTATCACCATCTGCAAATCAACAACTAATGGCCTCTTTGAAGTGACAGGAGAGGCTCACAAAGAAACAACAAATGCTTGAAATTCTGGGTGACCAGATTTGCTAAGTTGATAGGCTTGAACTGGCTGTTCTTTCCTCTAATATAAATTGACCCAGATGTTGCAAAGCAAAGGAGGCTTTCCAATTGCATCACACATACAAAACCAAATAAAAATGCTTCAGGGATTTATTACATTCTGTCTTAGAGCCAAACCATTCAACTGATTCTCTAATCTGGACATGCCTGCTGTTCGATTCACCTCTGTCCCCACCACTGTTAGGAAGTGTGAGCACTGGGGGAAGCCTTGTGTCAAATACACACTTGTGTATCTGCTTCAGAAAGACAAGCAGCAGGTGTTGTAACTAGAGAGAATCTGGGGAGAAGAGGTGTTGGTAGGACACCTGGAGATAACTGCTGCTTTCCAAAACACAAATAATAGGGTCAGATCAGCCACTGGCTCCAGAATCTCAACTCCTTTTCCTGCTCAGCTTTGCAATTTTATTTATAGCAGAACTATTTCCTGTGAATGAATATCTGAAATACCATTCATTTATGAGACAGAAAAAAAGTCAGCTAGAGATTTATAGTTGTCCAAAAATTTAATTTCAGCAGTTTAAGTGGATGTTTGCAGATATGAGCAATGTATCTTCAATATAACAAATAGGACAAGAACTGCCTGTCATTCAGATACTTCACTTCAAAGACCACAAGATGCTCTGCTTTTTCATATACTCCATGTGACTGCAGTGATGTCAGCCTAAGACCGGAATTTGTTCTTACATCTTATATGAGTTGCTAAGTACAGGTTCCATTCTATATGGTAGCAAGTACTCAGTTTCCAGATTTCCAGGCGTTACTGGAAATTGCTCTTTGGCATGAACTGCTTTCCTGGTCTAGGGTCACACTATTCAGGACATTACAGAACTCAGTTCCTAGTGTCTGTGTCATACAGAGGTCTTCAGGTTCTTTGGTGAATGTCATAAGACTTGACCTACCTGGAAACTGTCTATAGAAACTATCAGCACAACACAATACAAGCACTGAAGACAGTGCACAATCAACCCTCAAAAAAACACTGTTGGGTTTGATCCAGCACATTAAGTAACACTGCACACAGCACTGTCTGTTGAAAACAGAATTAACAGAGAACCTGTTTTTTTTTCTTGTAATAAATTCCATCTGTCATCAAGATATTGAAGAAAAGCTATGCCAGTACTGCCACAGCCCTCCATTCTAATAGCTTTCTTGCATGCAAGATGGTGTTCAGCAATACAAATATACACAGCAAAGCAATTATACAGTGATGAGAGATGTGCTTCACTGTCAGAGAGAACTAAAAGTACGTCTGAGAATGGAGCCATCTGGCACCCAGCCGCACTGTGCTCTTCTGCTTGTGTATGGGAATATCCAGGCATGCATCAAGCATGCATCACACACAGTGTAACAATACACATTTCTGCTACTGATAAAGAGGGTAGATTTCAGCTGGATATAAGGGAAGTCTTCCACAGTGAGGGTGGTGAGGCACTGGAACAAGTTGCCTGGAGATGTGGTGAAAGCCTCATCCCTGGAGACTTTCAAGGCCAAGCTGCACCAGGCTCTCAGCAACCTGATCTAATCGTGGATGTCCCTGTTCACTGCAGGGGAGCTGGACTACATGATCTTTAAATGTCCCTTCCAACTAAGGATTCTGTGATTCTATGATATATATTTGTTTTTAATAAAAAAAAGGCATCTATTTAAGAATTGTGGAGTGTATGAAAGCTCTAAAATTCCCACACTGTACTGTCATTCTAATGGTAAGTATACAGCAACACAGTGGGTAAATGGAATAGAGTGGTGACAGAGTTCTGGGCAGAAAAATGCAGAGACATTTCCTGAAAGCCACACTCACAGATAACATACAGCTTAGAGCAGCCAGGGATAAATCAAGCAGGGAAGAAAGAGTGAGACAGAATGTGCATCCATAGTAAAATTAAGATGTTTAGAGGCTGGTGTGCATCATATTTTCCATGTTGCACTAAACCAAACAAACCAGGGTGGCATCAGGATATCCAACTCACAGAGCTGCCTGCCAGCTCTCTTCCACCACCATTTTCTAACCTCACATGCCAGGCAAGCTAGCTATGAATGTAGTTGCTTGATCTTGATACTTGCATCAGCCCTACGGGTGAAAACTTCTGCCTGTAGCTTCCAGCAGTTGAAAAATCTAACCCATTTATCTCCCACCTTCAGGATAAAAACATTCCTATCTTGAATATTAATCACATCTTGCCTAGAATTCCTAAGTGACTGAATTTGTGAAATGTGTGCACCTCTCACAAGTTCTCATTGCTGCTCTTGAGGGGAAGCTCCAGTGCTAATATCATGAGACAGTGATGAGGCTCAGCTTTCCTGACAGCAATTTAGCCAGAGTGCACCAATACCAATGCAGCACACACAGTGGCCAGACTCTTTGTCCTGTCGACATTTGATGAGATGGAACGAAAACTGTCAGATGTTGCCTGATGCTGCTCCACAAAGGTACACATTTGTGCACTCTAGGAAGCCTCCTACCACAAGGATGAGAAAGACAAATGCATCAGGGCCAAGCATCTACCCTAATATTTGATGCCTATGGATATGAATGAAGAGAGCCATTCCTAAACCATTTCCAAAAACAGGACTTTAAAGGTGGATAAGAGAGGGACTTGAAACTGAACGATGATTTTTGCAATAGATTATCAAAGAGTCCATTAAGTTTAAAGAGCAAATCTTTGTCAGTGGAAACCTAGGGATCACTTTTAGACTAGTAAGCAAAAACTTTCTGTTTACACTCAGTGCTCTTTATTTCATGAAAGATCTTGTACAGAGTTACTAACAGAAGTCATCTTTAATTCTGAAATTGAATCCAGCTGCCATTCACACAATGGAATAACTCATTAACATTTTTACTCTGTCCAGAAAAGGGAGGCACATTTTTGTTGTCATTTTTTAATAAAATTGAATGCTCTTTCTTCTGATAAATTTATCAAACTCAATACATTTTTTTTTATAAATATCCCTAAATCTAAGGAACGCCAGAATTGATTTTTATTTTGCAGCGGAAGAAACAAATACAAATGCAATATGATTACTATGGCATTTCTGTAAATATTCTTCTCTTCCTTAGCATGAAGTAGAAAGTCCTAAATGAAACTGATACTATACACTGAAATGACCTATTTGGAGCAACAGATCACACTAAAATGTATCAGAATCATCTGCATTTGTTTTATTTTCCTACCCATTAAAATACCCAGTTCAGAAAAGGAATAGCACACCTACATTTGACTGAGAGACAAACATTTTTCCTAGCTGTAAAAAATTTAACGCTTGAAAAATACATTGCAAATGACTAGCATATACTGTGAAGTTCAGTGCCAGAAAGAAGTCACAACAACAGGGAGACAGATATTCTTGCCAGCCTTGCAAAAGGCATGATTACACATTTTCAGAAGAAAAGGCCTGCTCAGGACTGGCATCCAAAATAATACTGTACATTCTGTTAGGAAAGAACTAAAAGTCCTTTTTTTTCTGATCTCTAGATGGCTGCAAGTGTACCCACAGCTGTTCAAAAAAGAAACTACTGTGCTTGTGCTCTACTGGAAATGGATGCATTCTGGGGAAACGGCTTTAAACTAAAAGAGGTTAGATTTAAGTCAGATGTTAGAAAGACATTTTTTACTCAGAGGGTGGTGAGGAGGAATAGGCTGCTCAGAGAGGTTGTGGATACCCCATCTCTGGTGGCACTCAAGACGAGGCTGAAGGGATTTTGAGCAGCCTGAACTAGCGCATGGCAGGGGGCTGGAACTGGATAATCTTTAAGGTCCTCTCCAACCCAAGCCATTCTGTGATTCTGTATAAGTCATGCAGGCTGGATTCCATTGAAAAACAACAAACAGGCATTTTTTCAAACAGGCATTTTTTCAAGTAGTGAAATGTCTTCTGAATTTCATGAATTAAAAAAAAAAAAAAAAAAAAAAAAAGGAATGAAATGAAATGGTCCTAGTCTTCCTTCAAGATTACAATAAATGTATTGGTTCTAAGTCAGCAGGCTAATTCTTACACAAGTGATACTTAATAACTAATTCCGTAAAGGAGCACCTGATATGGAAGTGGGGAAGCAGGGTTTGTGGCAAGTGGGAGTCAGCAGAGACAGCTACTCTGCTAAGAATGCTGAGATGAATTTTCTTCTACTGACTGCACAAACATACTCTGCCAGCAGGGCTGAGCCACACACAGCTGCTGTAACCAGAACTACTGCAGCAGAAGGGAGCATGAAGCTAGCAGCATGCTGGAAGCTCTGGATGTTGCATACCCAGTAGGACATGCCCTATGAAGACTGCTTTCTGCATACCTGAGTCTGTCTGCTCTTCAGCTACGAGCTCCATTTTCCCCTCATTCTGCTCAACATTTCAGTGCCAGCTCAAAGCTGCTTCCTTCAGGAGGAAAGGCAGTAGGAGAAGTGGTTATGATCCACTGAGCAAGAATGAGTCAAAAAAGCCTGGATCTAATTGAACTGACCAGTGAAAAAGATGGGCTGAAAGGAGAACGGGGACAGGCAGGAGCTGGCATCTATGAAGATGAAAAGATTTCAGGACACTTTTAGCCAGAAGGCTGTGTTGTATTGCTTAAAATTCACTAATAGGTACAGTATCTGCGGATAGCATCTAGAGAGACATTACATGTCCTCTGCGGAGCAGACAGAAGAAAAAACAAGAAAAGAACTTTTCCACTTAAAAGAAAGAAACCTAAAATGTAATCAAAACTTTGTTGCTGCTTTTTTGTACAAAGTATTCACACATTGAAACTATCAGCTGCCTGCTCCAGGGAGAAAAAACACTCTAATGCTGCTGCTTTAATATTTTTAAATAAATAAATACAAATTCATCAATAGTTGAAGATCCCTCAAAGCCACCCAGTTCCTCTCAGAAGGCTCATTTCTTTTCCCTTACCTGAGAGAAGCTCGTTGCTTCTTTTCAGAGCTTCTTAACTCTTCATTGGCTTTGCTTTCAGCCCTATGCCTTGCACTCTGCAAATCTGCCAGCAAGAAAAAAGACATTATTCTCACATTGCTGTCCTTCCTAATCAGTGTAACTAACATGCTACATGGCAAATACAGTTTTTCTAGTTCGTAGATCAAGATGTGATGCATCATTTCATAAAGCCTTCTTGCAAGTGCTTTTGCCCACAGGACATATTTTAAGCAGACATAACCTTGGCTGTAGGACATTAGTCAGGGTTGGGCTGAGGGCCATTTGGTTGGTTAAATGGAGCCACATTCACACTGATAAACTTGTCCCTCAGGAGGGCTTGGTAGTTTGGATTTCAATCTTGCACTAATGCATGACAAAGCTTTCCAGCAGTGCAAATTTTCTTACGTCTGCACTTGGATGTCTATATTAAAACCACGATATCGAGGCTCTTATCCTGGATAAGGTGCCCACATTTTCTACTGAAGTATTACACAAAACACTGTGAGAATTTTAATTTAGTACTACTTAACCTACTGAAGCAATTACGTTCATACAGCTATTATTAGAGTGAATCTAAGGTGAACAATCCATCATAGTATAAGCCATTTTATAACAGCATGCTCCTCCAGTACTGAAAAAATGTGTGCAATTTTTACACATTGACTCACGAAGTTCGGTTATGCTTAACTGTTTATTTTTATCCAGCAACAGTGATAGGTACTTGCAAAAAGACTTTTTATACCACACCTATTTTCACACAAACTGAACACTGTAATAATAGCACAGTTAGAGTGGCATAAATAGAAAAGGCCTTAAATCTGCCTTTCAGTATGCAAACACAATTACACAACACACACAATTTTTCCTCTTGTTGCTGCCAAGAGAAAAAACTCAATCGGAAGCAGAACCCTAATTAGCTTAGCATACATGGAAAGAAATGTAGGCAATTTTGTACCTAAGATCTTAAAACAGATTAATGGGGTTTGAAATAGCCACAGAATCATTTGCCTTAAATATTTATTTGTTTCCATTGACAAAATATGAAGATGAATGTTTAAGACCCCCTTAAATTTTTTCATCATTTTTTTCCCCGTTGTTGATCACACATCCTTACCAGTATGATTTAACAATATACTTTTCTTCTTCTGGCTGCCATCTGGTGCCACAGTAAGTTTCACTCGCAGAGTTTTACTGGAACTAGGAGAATGGTTTACTGATGCATCAACTACCTCATAGATGGTATGAAGCAAGCTGGTAATATCCTATGATGGATTGAAACACAGACAGATACAATATTGTGAATATTGTGAAAATTGTATGAATCCAACCTCAATATTCAAGACCAGTTTAGACCTGAGTCTTTTAAATGCTTAAATATCCTCAGAAGTCACTGAATTCAGAAGAACTGATCTTGCACAGAACCTTGCATAAAAGGATAAATTTTTCTCATCTGTTAGCACCCACTTTTTCCCAACAGAGACTGTAAAGGATCTGACAGACACAGAAGGAATGATTCAAGTTGATCCATACTCTTTCTTCATCAAATGGTTAAGATTTCTGAAAGAGGGCAAACCAGATTAAAACAATAACTAAAATACAAGGTATTCAAGTTTCCAAAACATGATATGAATGAATGAAATTGTGTTCTGCCTTTATTTTCTTTTGGTTTCAGTAGAACTCAGGGATAATTATTCATTCTGCAGTAAAAACTGAGTTCACTTGACCAAAACAAATGCAGCAATTGAAGAAAAATTTGGACATTTTTACATCCCCAGTAAATCTTACTACTTGCTTTTTTCTTCTTGCATGCCTAACTGGATGATTATATAGAGGAAAACTAGTAAGAGATGTGACAGAACTGTAAACTTCAGGTTTGGAAGCCGCCTGTCTGTTACTCAACCATATCTGTACTGTGACCTAGCTTTGCAAAATTTCTACCAGTTCTGAAGTTACAATTTTGAATAGCAGAGATTATCATTCCAGTCTATTACAGAACATTCTTGTGAACATCTTTGAAGGCAGTGAGGCATGAACAAATGCTGACATGTCCAGCTATATTGGAGTAAACACTAGCCATTTTCATTGTTTCAAACAGAAGAAACCCCCAGCAGAAACACCACTTTTGTAGCCAGAATATCACACAATCCTCATTATTTAACCAGGTTTGAAGGTGACACAGAAATACTAATTTCTGCTCACACAGTATTAAAGAAATACTAATTTATGGCCAGGACAAATGGTTTTACAGTAAACGATCTTCCAGCTCAATAGCCAGATGGAATAACTGAAGTACTAAGGACTGAGCAGCAGGCCTCAAACTGAAGTTGACCACTCACTACGTGAATCTCACAACCAAGCGTTATCAGTAGCCAATCATTAGTGAAATATGTATGATCATTAGTGAAATATGTATCTTGAGCAAAACATCTCATTTGCGAGAGATGTAGCTTAGATAAAGCGTTATGAGAATGTACAAACCTTTCCTTGTTTAGAAGTATAGTGTCAAGGCCTCCTAGCACAAAAACTTCCTTGGTTCCTCCTTAAGCCCTAGCCAGGATAGAGGTAGAATCCAAAAAAGGAGAATGAAAGAATGAAACCAGATGTTTCTGCCTAACTGTCCCATAAACTTGTTTGTTCAAAGACAGAAGCTGGACCTTCTTGTAGCAAAGTTGGAGACCTCACCTACGAGTGGACGCACTGCGTAGGACCTCCCAATTGCCAGGAAAGGCTCTCCAAATCCTCACTGCAACCAGGGCTCCCCAAAGGCTGCGGATCTGGATGATGGTAAGTATTAGGGCAACTGGCGATGTACCTTTTCTTAATCACTATAATTGACCTTGTAGAGTAATGGAGAGGTGCTCTACCTTGTTCTGTGTTATTCTTGCCATATCATTTCACTTGTTCTCATTGCTTTAAGCGAACGTAAAAATAAACATACTTCTTTAACTTGGTGTCTGTGACCTTTGTGCTGACCCCATCCATTGGCAGAACAATAACTAGATGCTTGAAGGTCCAGACTTTGTCTTAAGTTGTACGCTCTAGAATTTTTCTGCACTCAGAGAAATTTCTCCAGATGTATGAGTTGAAGACAACATATTCATAAAAAGCTGTATTTTTTTTTTCACCACGAATCTCTAAATGGGCTGTTACTGCCATACCAATAGTCACTTCCCGTTCCCTTGACAAGAATCACTGTCTAAAGTCTGAATGAGGAAGACTGCTCAGTGACAATCTAGCAGTCACGTCACAGCTCTTTAACAAATCTCACTCCTCACACATCCACCCTACTCTGAAATGTAACCAGACATCTAGATAGACGCAGTCATATCTGACAGCTAGCTAGAAGGGCTGAGTTTTTATTTCAGCTAAAGAAAAATGCAGCCAGTTAGGAACAGACAAACAAAATGCATGTCTTCTATATACTCTCCATAAATTATGTTTTAGAAACTTTTTGTTAGAATCCTACACCTCCACAAACCAAACCTCTTCTTTGGCAGAGCATTACAGCAGCACATTTATTGTTAATGGAGCTTCACACACTCAGCACCTTGGGGAAATGGAGCTTTTCCCATACATTCCTTAACAACTGTTGGTTAGCCAACAGGGCATCTTTCTATGCAAAACTATTATCGAGAGATTATTATCAACTCTTTCATCCACAACAACCTATTTCCCTCCCTTTTTTCAGTTACACCAGGTGTTTGTACAAGCTTATCATTTACTTTGTTTTTACTTCAATAGCAAAGCTGTCTTTACTCTCCACCCTTGTTTTTTGGTGATGAGGTTTAACTCACTAATTGGCACACAGTCTGTCGCTCTTGTTCTGTGAGGGTCTGTCAAGCCACTTGACTCAGCAGTTTTAAAAGCACTCCCAAATGCTGGCAATGAAGGCCAGATGCAGTACTTGTGTGACACATACTTGGCAAATCAGAAATATATGCACACACATCATATCAGGACAATTTGCACCTCACAGCCAAAAGGACATGGGTCAATCCAAATTAATGTCCAGGCACCCAGAAGTTTAAGAGGCTGCAAAAGGGATCAGGACACCTTGTGGCCATAGAGTCTGCTGCCTTAGCATGTCATTATGTGTTTAATACTTAGCTTCTTCCACAACAATCTGAACTGCTTTGCATTTTGGCACTGAATGAATGTGGTCGTTAGACTGGATATAAACCAAGATCGAGGTTAGGGATATCCATAAGTAACCACTTAATGCTTATGTTGATCTTCTGAATACCAACAATAACATTTTTATTATAGGATTCATTTACTTGTGGTCCTAGTTTGGGCTTGAGAGTCTTAGCAAACTGACAGTTCTGATTTGGTCAACAAACCTGCTTGGGTCATTCACTGTTCCACCATCTATCACAGTCCTGGCTGAGGAGGTACAAACTACAAGGCCACTTGAGCCTTGTGCTGCTTTCCAGTTGGTGCTTCAAATTCCTTAGGTGCTGATCTGGTAGGAATGAGTTTTGATCTGTGTCTGAAACTATCTTCTAGCCTTTTTTGGGCAACTAAAACGGTAATGGCATCTGCCAAATCACAGACCATTACAGTATGTTACAATAACTGTGTTTCACAGCTATGCCTGTATTTACCTCCGAAATAATTGTAATCTTCCAGAAGCCTCATGGCAGATGGGGGAGACTTATGCTCCTCTTGAAACCTGTCCCACTAAACATCATCTATATTTACATTTCCTAAAGAACTACTTAAACCCATGGATGAAGCTTTGACTTGTACCTGCCAGCTTGTGCATTTCACCATCGAGAAATTCAGTGCCAAGAATCAAGAATAAAGCCCAGTGAAATTTCCCTCCCGTCTGGCAGGCTGATCAACATGTCCCAGGATCATCTACCAAAGAATCCAAAGAACACGCTTTTCCACACAGCTTATCACCGTGCTTGCCAGTCACATGATTTTACAGCTACTTTCCTTAAGACCGTTCAGCACCTCCAGCACAAAGTTCCAGCCCACGTCTCAAACATCTGCATTTTTTACATGAAAAATAAATATTTTTTAGCGTTTCCCAAAAATATGGTTTTTGTGCCAAAATGTGCTTTTAAACAATTTCTACTTAAAAATCATCGTGGATTTATAATCTAGTATTTTAAACAGTAAAGAGAAATGAGAACAAGAAAGAAAGATCTCTCTCCTTTATAGGAAACCAATTGTATTTAGTGGGGCTGTGCTAATCCAAATGACTTCTGAAAGGTTGCAAGTGTGCAGTATTTCTGCTGGGATAGCTATTTTAATCAAGTAAGAAAGCTGAAACTGTGATAATTTTCCATAAAGAGAAAAACAAAGGCTTTTTGGGTAGTATCCAAACAACTAGCAAATGGCATATTCAGATTTAATTGTGTCTTGCTTATTGAGCACCACAGTTGGTTTTTCCAGGGCTGAAAGGTTTAACAGTGTTAAATCTTTGTTTCTCAATCTAGTTTTTTCAAGCAGCTACTAACAACAATGCATATTAAAGAGAGAAACTTTAATAGATAGCTTGAAATTCTTTAGATTTCAACTAGAAATACAAAGAAACATACAGTAAAGGCCACACATGTATTGATGCACTCACACATTTTTCTGCAGAATTCTTTACTGATCTCCACTAGGAGATTAACAGGAATTTAGAAACTTCAGAGAAACTAGTGGGTCAACAGAAAGAACAAGAGCAAATTATATTTAAGTATTCTTCCTTCCTTATACAAGTCAAGTTGTTTAGCAAGTCCTGATTCCCAGTTTTCTTTTTTTGCTTCTAATTGCCACTGCTAGTCCAGTGTTGCCTTTGACTCAATTCAAAATGAAAACAGAAAGCATTTTTTCTTAACATTTCTCTCTTGTGCAAATCCACCAATTTAAGGGGCTGAAATGATGACCCCTCAAATACAGATAGACATGACTCCTCTAACTGTTGGTCCAATTGTTGCTTTTTTATCATGAGTTAATGCAATGGTCACAGAGAGAAAAACAGCTAATTTCAAATGAAGGGTCAAGGTGACAAATGCTAGCCCCAGAAAAGCCAGTATCCTTCCCCAGGTCAAAGATTCGGTGCTAAGTTCTGAATGCAGAAAATACCTCATGCTTTTTCACTCATAGGAAGATACAAGCAAAAATAACTAAGAACAAAAAAAAGAAAAAGCAAAAAAAAAAAAAGGAAAGAAACAGAAGAGAAAAGAAAATGGCATTTAGTGTAAAATACAAAGAACATTTTCAGCCTTAAAAATGTATGAAGAGAAACATCAATATCAGTTCATTACCTTTCCTTCAGAAAAAAGAAAAGTACAAATGTCTTATCTGTACCTTCTTTGTAGTCTGATTTTTACATACAGCAGGATGTTTTTGTTGCAACATCAGCTTTGTTTGATCATGTAAATTTTTGAATCGTCCTTATTTGGGCCTGAAAGGAGCTTCACTTGCTATCTATTGAACAACTAGTCTAGAATAAATTCACACATTTTTTGAATTTTTCCTTTTCACTCCAGACGAGCAACTTTTTTGGAGTGCTTATGGCTGCAGCTATTCACAAAGCAATGATATTTTCCAAGAAAGAACCAACTGCAAAAAAAATGCTCCATGTTTATGAAGTATAATTACACGCACAGAGCTCAGCATAAAACCTCATGGATCAAAACACATTAGTTCAATTATCCAAGTTTCAAGTCCGATTACAAATATCCATATGAAGATAATTATAGTGCAGCTGTCAGTTCTAAAAAGACCTGCGGTACATAATGAATTGTCCTCTTATGGTCTATGGAATGAAGGGAAACGTTATTAGCCAACTTTTGTCATATACAGACTAGAATAGGAAAAATGATCTCTTAGTACACCAAAAGGACTGAAAAATGATCATCTTCTAAGACAGAAAAAACACTGTTTTGAGAACAGAAACTACTGCTGATTTTCTAATTTGCCGTCCCAATAATTATGTTTCCACGGCTGTGTCCCTCCAAGAAGTGTGACTAGATGTGGGTTTCTAATTAGAAAGACTAGGGAATAAATCAGAAAACTCTAGAAGGAAATTAAAGCAGTATTAAGTTCTGAAAATGTTAAGATCCAGAATAAATTTCACTAAGATGGAATTTGAATGCTCTTGTCGTGGTGTAAAACCCAAGGGAAACTTTATCCAGTAACTGAATCCATCCCTTATTTACAATTTTCAAACGTTTTCACGAATAAGGCACGCAGTCCACTTGCAATATCGCACCCCACCTACGTGTCTCTTACAAACTTCATTTTACACCATGTATCCTTTAGAAACTCTCTGGACATGAATTCCAAGGTTTTAAACAACACATTTGAATCAAATGAAGTGGATGTGGGCAGACAAGTCACTTCCTTCTCCGGTGCCTCACTTTTCCAAGAAGAAAAACAAGGATGATAACACCTATCTCACTTTTTAAAGCACATCAAGATCTACAGATAGAAAACTAACAAGAAATTTCATCTCACTATTTAATCCCATCATAAATCCAGGAGACAGTCCAGTGAAATTTTCCAAGATGGGAGAAGGACCACACTAATCTTTTCTCAAAGGAACACTGGACCTTTGTTTAGAAAAGCTGACCAGCTTTGAAAGCATTTTCATCAGCTCACTGAATGGCATTGCTACAACTCAGTTCTCTTCCTCAGACTGTCCGTTCTGTTGCTGATCCAGCAATGAGCCTTGCACACTTAACTCAAAGCATGTGTCCCATTCACTTTAATTGAAACTGTTCACATTTTTAGCATTCACCATTGTTAAGCCCTTTGCCGGATCAGGAGCAGAACTGTTTAACAGACCACAGGATCAAGTTCTGCTATGTTGAGTGTCGGTGTCTCAGAACCTAATAGAACAAGCAATTCTATATCATATGAAGAGACAGAAACTGCTCTTTTGTGGATGAGATGCTATCATGAGTCACTCTTGCATAAACAACTCTTAAATCACATCTGGATTCAACAAAGGAAAATCAACCAAGATCTTTTCTACAAATGACAAAAGTAGTACATAACAACTGGAAAACTGCAATGGTGCATACTATTAATTACTATCTTCAGTCACATGAAAACAATTGAAAATTATCAACCTAGTTGGACCCTTGGTTAAAGGAATTTTCTTTTTGGCACAGGTTCTAGCAACCTCCAGACCTCAGCATGGTATAATTTTCAATCTCTGCACAGATTTTGTTTCAGTTAAGCTGCAGCCTGCTCTTGACCAGGGAGAAGCAGAATTTGGCTGTAACATATTCTGTAAGTACAGTCAAATTAAGCCCTTTGGTGTACCACATAATCACAAATAATTATTGTATGCATACTTAAAAGCATATTCTCATTATGTTCAGCACACGGAACTCCCACTAATGTTAATGGGAATTCCATGCCTGAATGTAAAAGACACCCATGTGTGTGGGTTTTGGCTCTGCTGTGTTTTGTGTTTCTTCCCCTTTCTTGACAGTTCAGGGAGATGACTTAGCCTTGGGTCTCAAAGGATCGCAGTTCAATCTGCCACTAGGTTCACGTGAGACTTCAGGCAAGTTACTTAACTCCTCTGCTGTCAGTTCCATACATTAACAAAGACAAAACCTTTTTTCCTTTTTTTTCCTCCTTTCTCTTTGCCCCCCTCTCTCTCACTATAGCTTATGTTCTCACTGAAAACTGGAGTTGGTCTGCAACATTGTTTCTGTTTATTGTCTTGTATGAGGGACACAGATTTTACTTGACCATTCAAACCACTATCACAGTAGAGACAACAAAAAGCTAGAAATGATGCTCACGCACACGTTAAAAACCTTGAACCACTGTATTTAGCTATTTATTCATAAATGTCAGAAAAGATTTGCTTTAGTCTTCTAGGCTTTTAGATTTCTGCCCTTTACTTCGTGATCTAATGTCAGTAGAAGTAGGGGGGTTGGACTCGATGATCTCTGGAGGTCCCTTCCAACCCCTACAATTCTGTGATTCTGTGATTCTGTGATACACTTTCTGTATTACCCCACTCCTTTCAATCATTTCTTAGTAATTGTCATAGATTCCAGCACACATGTGCCCACAAAGACAAACTGTCAATTTTCAGCTGATTGCTTAAAGGCCTGGGAGCCAGTAAACAGGTTGCAACAAAAACCAATGACAGCACAATATGGAAAATCTCAATAAAACACACTCTTCTAGAAGTTTCATTCAGCCTGGATGGGAAAAAGACCATACTCTAATCTACACAAACTTTTATGTGGCCTCTTATTTTCTCATGACATACAACTTGAAGACATCCTGATAATACAAAAATACACACAGGTCTGCTTTGATAGGCATTCATCCACTATGGAACTGCAGCAAGTATCATCAACGCTATTTATACTTGGAAAGAGAAAGCAAAGATCAGCCTAACATTCATGAAAACAACAGAACAGTATAGTCAGTCCTACTGGAAAGAATTTCAGAAAGCAACCTTGCTATTTGGTTAGCTTAACTCTGAAAAGCAGGATAGAAGCCAGAACAATATACATTTGCAGGGGTTTATTTTGACAGTGTGTTTAGTTGTTCAGTTGCTTCAGATATTTTTCCCCTCCAAATGCCAGCACTATTTTTTAAAAGGCTAATCCCAGATATTAAACAACAACCAGCTTCAGAAGTGGTACAGTTCATCTTAAAACAGTAAGCTACTGGTGGGATTGTTCCTAGGAGGGAAAGGTCCAAGGAAACTGCTGTTTAAGTTGGCAGGATGCTTCTGTTTCATAGAAGAAAAAATGTTCCTGTTATAAAACACTTCTCTTGCTAGCAAATGCTGCACACAAAGGGGCAGCTGTACTGTGCTTACCTCACGTGTGACTCTTCCGTTGTTATCAAAGTCATACAGTGTGAAGGTCCATTCTTGCCTGTTATCTTCCTCTACAGACACATCACATTGCAATTCCTAAGAAGCAAAGAGCAGCTGATTACCTGAAGCAAAAGGCCTGTTTGCAGAGGAGACTGTAGAAGGAGGCTACTTGCTTTCTTCCTTCCTCCCTTCCTCTCTCATGGGAGGAAGCTTTCAGGATATGTCCCAGAGAGTTCTCTGACCACCACACAGAAGAAATCTCATCATAATAATATGATAATCTTAACTCCTTTAGGCTAGGCTTCCAGCAATCTGCAAGATACTACTTTCTACTTCAGTGCAGAAAACACAAAGAAAGAAAACTGGTCCCTGAAGCTGTTAGAATATAATAAGGTTTCTCACTGAAAAGTGAGAAAGAAAACTCTGCTTAAGTCAGGAAGAGAAAGACAACAGAAGCAGTCACAGTATGATGTAGGACACCACAGCCCCAGGAGCGGTCATTAATACAAAAAGGCACAAATCCCCACCAGTGAGACCCGTCAGATGCCTGACACCCAAAGGCCACCAGCTGGTGCAGCCCAGCATGGTGCCACGAAGCTCCTGAAGCAGAGCCTGCCCAGGGGCTGGCAGGTAGCAGCAAGCCGGGAGCCTGGCCCTTACTGAGCCGCGCTTCTGCTGGTGAGCATGACTTGGGGAAAGCCTGAACGAATCAATTTGTTCAAGGAAAATAATCCCCAAACCAAAACCAAGCCTTCAGTCAAGAACAAAGGATGCACTTTGACTGACTTTGGTCACCTGGGTGCAAAGGGTTTGCTTTCTCTCAAGACATGTGCAATTAGAATTATCCAGAGCCACAACAATACAATACAAAAAAAGTTACAGTGCAATTAAAATGAAAGCTGCTGTATACAAGTAAAATAAACAGCTCCGAATAGCTTCAGCATGACAGAGCTCAAAATACCTGGTTGATCTTCTGACTTGAAACCAATTCCCTACAGCAGTTACCCGTCTCCCTGTCCCCTGCTGAGTTCAAAGGCAGTCTCCTCTCCGTTGTAACAAGCCCGGCTGAAAGCTGCCAAGTGCCCCACACTCTACTGTGGAAACACCGTTTCGTATTACACAAACATTTCCAGCAACTTTAAAAGCCAAATCGCGTTCACCTCACATTTAGACCTCTTGTCTCAGCACTCGTGTTTCAGATTCTTTTACACCTTTCAAACATTTACCAATCTCATAGCCCCTAGCTTACATAGTTAGAAAACTTTCATTTCTAGAACAAGGGGAAAAAATATCAATACTTGGTTCCTTGCCACAGATTAATCCTTCTCTGTCCCACATTGCCTAACATAACATCTTTATGTGAGGATGTGCTCTGCTTAGTTAAGAGCCATGGCAATCTTCCCTGCATTAGTCATGGAGCCTGGTACCAAGTGCTAACCTTTATGGCATGCCAAGAACTACTTGGGAACAAACACAGACTTTGCCGGAATGGTGCAGTTCCAGCTATACTGGCACCAACCATGTTGACAGGTGTCCTCCAGTGTTCAAATATCAAGGCACTGTTAATTGCAATTTATCATGCCTTTCCTGTCTGCAACTGTCTGCTATTCAAAGGAGAATATAAAGTGTGCCTACAAAAAAAGTTATCGCTTTGCAAAAAAAAGGCAGGAAAGTCACCTCCCCCCAGAAGGCACACCAGCACTCGCAATAGCTGAGCTGCCTCCTTTTAATCAGCCTAAAACAGTAAAAATAAATTGTACCAGACTACTAAGCCTGCTCTGGAGAAGGAAATGAGCACCCAGCCATGCTGCAAGGTGGCTGCGTGGTCTTTTAAATAACAATTGAGGAACGCAAAGCTCATTACTGTGACAGGCTGACAGCACTGAAAGGTAGAAATCTGCCATGTCTGCTGGAGCGCAGAGAGATGAAAACTCGTGCTGTTTCTTGCCAGTACCAGAGTATCTTTCTGCTCACCGAGACAGACAACCCTCTAGCTGGATGACAGCACGTTTCAATACTCATATTTATTAAATTGCTCCCTATACAAACAAAACCTGCCAACTGCTCACAATGTCTGGCAGTTTTTGTATGTCTGCAAGAAAACAGACCATCCGACTTATTGCCCCCAGGATCCTTCTCCTCCTGCCATCTGATCAGGTAGATATCCACTGGAGCACGAGGGTCTTTTCACTTCTGAGCCCAGCCACAGGAGGCTGATGGATAAGGAAGCTTTCACAAATATCTTCCACATCAAGAAGATTCAACCAAGTGCAACAGTCCACACAAGTCAATCTCATAAGATCTCATAACACAGGAGGTGGCATAATAAATTGCTTCTAAAAGGATTGCAGATAGAGGATCAACACGAACACCTCTTTTTACTGTACATTTCAGAGCCTACCAAGGAATCATCATATTCCATTTAAACCTGGAAATAAAACATAGTAATCTAAAAGGCCAATATCACCAACAGTAAGACACTGAGAATTGTACCATCTATACTGCACCCTTTACCTATTATCATTGGAAAGAGCTATCTATATACATGCACTGTTTGATCTACAAGCTATTTTTCTACCTTAATTATGTCACTACAGTGAAACTTTAGAATACAGAACTTACTTCAAATTTTAGTTGCTTCTTGGAACCTGTGCGTGTGTCACTTTCTTTTTCTGCTTTCTTTTCATCTCCACTGCAAACTCCATCTGTCTTCTCTGGAGGCAAAGCCACTGCAAAAAATATATTTAAGAAAAAAACTTTTGTAAGGAAATGTCAAAGCAGTCATATTTGCAAATTTGTCATCATATATAGGGTGAAATTGATTTCAGCAAACCTGTGTGAGAGGATCATTATACTTGATTTGCTTTTGTGTTCACTTCACATCTAGGATTATTTCAGCAGACAATCTAGCAACAGCTTTTGGTACACAGACAGTCCTACAAATATCACTAGAGTCACAGGAGGTTCAAACAGAGTATTATGAAAATGTAAGTCAGCAGAACTGTTATTGTAAATAAGTTGAATAATTTTGCAAAATATTCTAAGTATGTGACATGTTGCCAGACACATTGCATTCACCAGCAGTGACTGGAGTAGTGAAGCTGAAATGAAGTCCTCTTTCCGCTCCAGTTTCCCTCTTCAAATACACATGAACCTTAAAAGGTAACTATAACCTGCCAAAATGGTTAAAGCTGTGGCTTCTTCAAAAATATGTATGAAAAAGCACATTCTGAGTTAAAACTTTCACACTTACGTGATTTGGTAGTACTCATAAAAAGCATCAAAATATTATCAGCTATCAGACACATATCACAGCGTATCAGCAGGACACATCCACTTCTCAAGCAGATTAAGAGACAAATGTCCAGGAACTTGGTAGCTGTACCTTTGCACCTACAGAGGAACTTGGCCCTGCACATGATGAAATTCAATCTGAAGAAAATTAATTCTGTATACATTAGAGTTATGAGAATATACACAGATTTTCAACCCTACTCTGGATCTTTTTAGATATATTTTTTTACATCCATATACTTCTGCCAACAGTGCTATGGCCATACCTCATTAAGCACAGCAGTAATTCTTCTTTCTCCCCTCCAAATAAATTAGAGGGGACTGATAGACTGTGGACCTGCAAGTCAGTACTTTTCTCTTGTGCTGCAGCTCTTGCATGCAAAAAAACCCCTTCAAATTAACCTTCCCTTAAGATTATACTCTCAGAAATTCCAAAAGCTAGCATTTCTGCCTCAGCAGTCAGACTGCCACACTGCAGACATGGACTGCATTATACACGTACTCACACACTGATAGGCTTTTTTTTCTATTCCACGTTTGGTTTCTCTACACCAAACACAGCTAACCGGGAGGGTCAGCTGAAGAAAAAGAAAGTTCACATCATGACAGTTTGTTTCCTTGCCCACTTGATTTGGTACTATCAGATGAGCAGAGATTGTTTATTATGAGGTTTTTGTAGAGTGCTTACCGAAATGAAGGCACATACGATAAACATTATGTGCATACAGAACTCCGGAGTATATCTGAAGGACCACATGTTTTATAATCACTCTGCCCATAAATGCAACTCCAGATTCCTGGAAATTCCTAGCTATCCCCCCATCCCCCCCCAAACACACACACACCAACAACACCGCAGAACAAATACAAAAGGACGTTTGGTTATCTCTCCTAAGTCAGTGTTTTTATTCTAAGAACTCTGGGAAATGAAGATGTAACGCGGGCATTCATAACTAGCAGTTATATAACAGTGGCTCTTCCTTTCATTAAATGCGTGCTGGGATTTTGAGTGGCTGCTTTGTATCAATGACCAACTCCCCACATGGAAAGATTTAACTAACCTAACCGAAACACTTGCATGGGGAACTTTTACAGTCTCTCACAATCTGGCTCTAGTGAATGTGAAATAAATGAAAGCAAGTCTGGTTTGACCCTTAGCTTTGTTGGAACACTGGACAACCAATTGAAGAAAAAAATCCACCTCACCACAATTACCTTTAAGTGTACAAGGATATACATAATGTTCAAAAGACTTCTACCGGGGTCTTTTATCTATCAAGGGACAAGCATCTGAAATCTCAGCATCTCAGACTTTGGGCTAAGAGAACTGAGGAGCAGATCCTGCACAAGGTGACTGTTCCTTGCCCCAGTGCTCTGTTTATATATGGATTTTTGCTGTTGAAGCATCTTACAGAGCAGTCACAACTACTCTTTTGTGCTGCACTGAAAGCCACCTGCGTGTGCATGGAGCACCAGAGCTCTCCAGGCCATGGGGTTTTTCAGAGAGAAACGATGCCAAGGGCACAGAGTTACCTTCTGGCTTCAGAGCAGCCCTTTCACTGGCAAGTTTAATAAACCTTCTGGATGTACAGTATGCGTGTTCAGATAGGAAGCTTTCACTTTAATGTATAATTTATGTAACAGAGGAAAAATGTGCTCTGACAAATTAGTCTTCTCAAAAAACAAGAGTTCAACTATTGGGAAAGGAAGAAGATACTTCTTGCAGTACGCTCCTTGAGAGAGTTTAAATACTGTATGCCAGAAATTATCCTCTTTGAGCTTTGCTGACCTTTGATCTGAAGAACTCATTGGCCTTGCTGCTCCAGGGAATTATCCTTTGAAATCAGTTATTCATTTTGGAGCTCAGATGAAATAGGGAAATCTGGTGATCTCATCCTGATGTCAAGTTTCATTCAGCATAGAAAAATGAAGTCTAAATGAGGAAATTTTAAAGGAGAATATGGAGGTATTAAAGTAATATTTATGAGTGATCAAATAATGTGTCTGCCTGCATATCCTTGTGTGCCGTATCCAAATCCAATGAACATATAAAAAATATATAGATTAGAATACGCCTGTTTTGTCCAAGAAGCAAAAATACTTGGTATTTTGCCTCTATACTTAGTTTCAACTATTAACATGCTCTCAGTTTCATGAAGGATACAAACACATGCTGAACCTACTTATAAATGAAATGAGAATGTCTTCCTGGGACAGTTGAAACTGGCAGTCTTTAAACAGAGATCCACCAGTGAGCTGCATGCCAAGGTTCAGCTGTATTCACAATGTGAACTTCCTTTCAGCTCTGCCAATGATATCAAATGAGACCAGACAAGATTGCTATCTCGAAGGAGCATGGAGGATTAATAGACTGGTGTTTCCAAATTCTAGGTCATCAAAAATAGGTCCACATACAAAATATTTGTGCAAAAATACGTACCTACCTCCCCACTCAGATAACAAGTCCTGACAGAAAGAACGCTCTGCATAGATTCATATGCTGAGAAGCCTACCCTTCTTGATGTGGGAATCCACAGCCGGAGAAAAAATATATATATTTATTGCTTCTTGTGGGAATAACCATATGCTCTCAGAAACAATGTTCCCTAACAGAATGTTTCATGAATTGAAATACTGCATATGTTTTCTTTATGATGTTCTCTTTTCTTGTTCATTATTAATGGTCTTGTATTCACTTCTATAACCTTAAGACACTATAAAAATGCGTCTGGACAATATTTGAAATTGGAAAGACAATAAAGGAAAAATATTAACTTGGAAAAATTGTGAAATACCATTCTTTCATGAAAAACAAACTGACTGGCTTAAGTGTACTAGCAGATGTTTCTCTCTAAGATTGTTAATTACTACCACACAATTGCTCATAATTGAGGGAGGGAGGAAGAGAGGAAGAGAATGAGCACCAGTTTAAAGGTATAAAGGCTTATCCTTGAAGAATTAAGTCTTTTTTTTTTCAAAGATTTATTCATTTCTATGAAAAGGAATAGGTAATAATTTCAACTAATAATAATCCCAGATTGCTGTGCTGAGTGCACTGAGTATCAAATACAAGCAGCGAAAGCTTTCCTCCCTCACTTCCACCTTACATCTTAGAATAAGAGGGGGAAAAACAGATCCAAAATTGGGCTGCACTCAGGTCAAAAAAGTGAGTTCAAACTTTCACTCAGGTGGATTGCCATTTCAGAGCTCTCAAAATGTCATTCGAGCAAAGCACCATGCTTTGTAGCAAATTATCTTCGTCAAAGTAAGGGCAACTTCACTCTGTTTTTCAACAGTACTGAGTATTTTAATCAGCAGGATTAGGAAGATCTTGTGGCCAGAAATAAAAAAGGAAGCAACTGTGATGAATGCTCATGGCTAAGTTACAGCTACCAAGGCAAAATTTACAAAGCAGTTACAAGAACCCAGGCTAAAGACGAACTACTTCAGAGCCTACTTGGGATGACAGCCATTTAGAAAGGTATTTGATGGATCACAGGCCTTAACTCTGAAAGCAGAACTACGGGAGATGCTATGCAATTCCACAGTGATAAATTATGACTGGATGTTAGGTAACTATTATCTTAATGTCAGAGTCATTACTGTGCAATTTTTGAGAGAAAGCAGAGCAAAGGTAAAATTGGAGAATTGACAAAAATGCCACCTATGAAAGTCAGCATCTGGTATACATGAGACAAAATCTTTTGGAGTAAAATATTATTAGACTTCCCTTCAAGTTGGATAGATTGGATTCTAAGCAATTCTTTAATCTTGCAGAAACAATGGGACAGAATTATCTGTGCACAGGGGAAATGACAAACTACTTCTAGAATCTGAGTCTTGTGAGGGAATAGACTAAAAAAAAGGAAAATTTTAAAGTGAATAGATAATATCAAGGCAAAGAAACAAAGTCAAAAGCAGTTCAGTAAGAATCCAAATGGAACCTCAGTAGCAAAAAGTTGGTCCAAGTGAGCTCAGTAGTAAAATTCCTACTGACGTCAACAGGACAAGGGTTTCACTTCCAATTTACAGATCTAGCAGACACAGCAGAACTCAGAGTCAGACAATGAGGACCAAAGAAAGAGAATTAACTGTGTTGTTGTTCCTGAAGTCTCTGATGTCTATATTACCTGGGCCTGCCAACATTTTTTTCATTGCAAATCAGGTTTGACAAACGTAACTGACATACTTCACGGGCTGCACAAGAACCAGAGAAGTAACAACTATGTTTGATAGTTCTTGAGAAGTCCTGTAGTTAACAATTAAACTCACATCCAGATTTCATTTTCAGATTCTCTTGGAGGCCAGGAATTAAGAAATATCATCCCCAATAAGCACACGTGTTGGTTTTATTCCATAGGAGTTGACTGAAATACGTTGCTGGTGGAGATAGCTTTACTTGAGCGAAGGTGCTCTTCTCCAGTGGCTAATGCCC